GCCAGAAACTAATGCTGTTTTTGGGGGCCATGGCCAGGAAAAGTTAGGGAATCCCTGGATTAGAATGTTACATTTTCTTTTTTTTTCAAAGCCGCTTTAAAAAGTCTGCATTTTAATAATTGACTAGATGAACAATTAAGTCAAAAGTTTCCAAAATCTTCAACATCACAATGAATTCACCTCTTTCCTTAAGTAGACAGACAGAAATACTGTAAAGACAGAAAAGGTCTTCATTACGGTGGTCTGAAAGGGACTTCAAAATGAAAATGACTTCAGTCGTCACCGGGGGATTTCAGTTACCCTATCCCTGCAATTTACTTTCAACCTTACTGTTTAATCACCAAGAAACTAAGGTATAATTAGTATTTTCTTCACTCTAATTGGTCATAATGAAGTCAGACTTGTGCAACACCTGCTGGAGGATGGAGGGGCTTCACAAGTTTCTGTCTCTCATTATAATAATCCAGACAGAGCCGAGTCTTCACAAGCGTCAGGAGCATCACGAGATTACCACTGTGGCTGGCTCATCTCCTATTCTGCTTCACTTCTTCTTTTTTTTCTTTCTTTTTTTGCCCCTTCGCTCCCACCTCAGTTTCAAAGGTCTTCTTTCCTTCAGAAGACAGCACAACCTGGCCTTCTCTCAGCCAATCACAAAGCTAATTGAGTCCACGGGGAAATTAAGGAATTCACCTTCCAGCCCTGTAAGGCTGGACACACATCAAACAAATACCAACACACATCAATGAAGAGAGCCAGAACGCACACACACACACACACACACACACATGCACACACACCTGCCCTTTTGAGAACACATCAAAGCTGCTCGGTAAAGGCAATGTGATGCTAAATGCCAGTTTCAATTTCAGAGCAAAGTGCATGTGTTACTGTGGGCCACGTGAGCGAAAGGCATGCACGAAAACAGACTCGTCTTCACTCGCTCTGGGCCCACGAGTGCGCAAAAAAGCCAGGGCTCAAGTCTRGGAGAGCGTCGGTAGGCGATAAAAAGAAATAACACAGCTGAGGTGCGGGCAAGTGTGAACACCGGCACCGAGACGCAACAGCAGGGTTTGTTCTGGATCCAGCTGAAGGGCTGCTAAAAGCTTCCAACACACTGGGGCCCTTCTGGAAGATCCTCTGGTAAAGCAAAACAATTCCAAAAAACTAAAAAAAAAAAAATTAAAAAATAAAAACAAGAAAGAAAGAATGAAAGAAATAGAAAAAGAAAGAAGGGTCTTGGGTAAAGATGGAGGCCTCATCAACATTCCTGTCTTTGTTTGGTTTTCACCAGAGAGTCTGAGGCCTCTATTGGATGGGAGCTTGAGAGAGGATGGACTCACTGGAAAAAAAAAAAAAACTCCTCAAATTGTTGA